ATGTAATCCAAATAATACAGATGTAAAAATTCTAGAAGAATTGCTTCACGTTATATTGGTTGTTGAGCTCCTCAAATGTTCGTGCAGCAGATCAGTAAACAACAATTTTTTTTATTTTTCCAAAAAGCTATTTGTGCTTTCATTAAAACTAGACTGCTGTAAATTATAAACGGTTACATGAGGTTTGTGAAGTGTTGTGCGCTAACTGTGTTTGAGGGTAAATTGATGTGACATCAGTGTTTTTCTGCTTCTTTGTGTGTACAGACTGCAGAAATGCAGGCAAAATGGGAGGTAATGTCTCAGTGTTGTTCTTTTCTTGATGCATGATCCATTTTAACTCTTAAACTCATCGACTTGCAGAGTCTTCTCACTGATCTGCACCACCTTACATATTTAACAAGAATGCTAACTTCATGAGACACGGACAGATTAACTCTTATGAAATTTACATTTATGAAAACTGAATTAATGTTTATTGTGTTCCTTTTTTGTCAGTGCTAGTTCTATTATAGTTTAATCAAAATGTTTCCAATCTACTAACAATAATTTATTTAATAGAAGATGTGTTGTCTATCTACTAGTTTTCCTGCTTCTTACCTTAAAACTTCAGTGACCAAATAAAAAAAATCAGTGTACATTGATTATTGCTGTTAGCCACTGATGTTTCCAACATGGTTCATTTATCTAACATAAGGGAGGGCAACATTTTTTTTCTAAAGAACCAAATTGAGATATTTAAAACAATTGAAGGGCTGTATACTGTAGATCAGAGGTTCTCAAACATTTTTGAGCTCAGGGACCCCTTACAGGGAGAAGAAGTTTCAGGAACCCCCTCATAACCCTCATGTTTTTTAAATTCATTCATTCAACCTTTATTTAGACAGGTTAATCCCATTGAGCCTCGAGGACTCATTTACAAGAGAGACCTGATTTCAACAAAGAATGATGACAACAATGGACAACAGCGACAACAATAAACAGTTATAAAAAGTCGTAGTCCAGTTTTTTTTTTTTTTTAAGAAAAAGGTAACAAAAAAACAGCTAGATTCTAAGGCGAATATAGAAAACTAAAAACAGGAACATGTCTGTATTGGTCCCTGCCAGGAGTCCAACAGATTCTTAAAGCCACTTAGAGAGGTCAAGGTCGAGAGCTTCCTTTCGAGAAATAATTTTCTTGAATTTGTCTCTTTAATGTAATATAAATATTTGTGCAGCATAAATACTTAATACTTGTTCTTTAACAATGCTCATAATTAAAAAAAAAAATTTAAACATGGGGTATTTTTCATTCAAGACAAACTTAATTAACAACGTTTTAAATTTCAGCTTCCAAAAATGACAGCTTTGAGAAAATTAACAGCATCAAAAACAACTTTAAAGCTTTTCTTACTCACACAATGAACATAAACGTATAGCCACTTCTTCAAATTATTACAGAAAACTATTTACATAAAACTACACTGAATCATAACAGCAGTAATCATACCAAGTAAGGTATGGGGGTATGGGGGTCTGGGGGTCCGCCTCCAGAAAATTTTGAATAAAGTAGATGGGATTTCCTGACACTGAACAGCATACAGTCAGTCAGTGTCAGGAGGGCTGTGATCAGTCTTACATCGGGGAAACTAAACAGCCACTGGCCAAAAGGATGGACCAGCACAGAAGATCAACACCATCAGGCCAGGACTTGTAAAGGAGGCCATTTTTGTGTAAAGAAATCGTCCATCATTAAACGGGGTGGAGGCCTCCGGGTTCAACTGTCCCCCTCTTACAATGCTGTGATTGCTAGTATCACTCAGCCCTCTGTGAATAGTAAACAGCCATCAGTGTGCTAATGATCCATTGTTAGGCTGATGGTTCTTCTTGAGCATGTGAGCAGCTGGTTTTGGTTGTCAGCAGCAAACTGGTTGATCCACTCTGAGAAGGTGCTATTTAAGAGACTGAGCTGAAAACAGCACCTCAGACTGAGGAAGTCTTTTGGATGAATGACGAAACGTTTCTACATTTTTTGTTGTTTTTGTTTTGTTTTTTGAATGTCCAGAGGACCAGATTTAACTTTTTTGGATTTTTCTACCTGGATTATTGAGCATACATCAGGACATTTTTAACTATTCTCAAACACCCGGTGGATGATGCATGTCGAAATTAAAATAAGTTGAAACAAAGTTTGACGTTAAAAGTTTTTACTTTTATTCGGCAGCACTAGGAAATATTTTCAGCTAAATAAAGTTTTAAGTGCTACTTTATCTGCATGAGTCATGCGTTTTCATTAAAATCTCATTTAAAGTAAGTCCAGAATGAGTTTGTTAAAGTTTATTGAAAATAAAACATTTTGCTTCTTAGTTTTCCAACTTGAATTCTTTTTATTGTTTCATGATTTATGGCATCAAATGAAGCAGGATTCATGGAGAACCCTTTAAGGACATTGACAGTTTATCTTTGTTGTGTTTCTGTATCTCATAGTGTGCTGTAAGATGTGATGTTTCATTTCAGCATTTATTATACACTCTGTTTTTAATCATGATGGACTTCCAGATCGTGGTTGATCTATTTCTAATACAAAAATATACAAAATTTAAATAAATATAAAGTTCCACAGGAAACAATTGAAAATTTGGTAATTCATTAAGTTGAGTTAAAAGATCATCATGATGGAAGTTTTGCTTTAAAATGTTGTAAATCAGAATACATAACAAAAGACTTTCTATTTATGCATTTTAAACGTATTGCTTATCTTTTGCAGGCTATTGTGATGAATATGAAGGAAAAACATTACAGTTTCCTGGACCACAAAAGAACTGACTTTGATGTCGACTATGAGCAATTCTGTAAAAACACATCTGAGCTCCATGTAAGTTATTTACAGACACAAAAATCTACAGTCTGTGGGGTTTCTGAGATTTGTCCTGTCTTTACAGTTTCCTTGTGTTTCATTCACCCCTCGGTGTTCTTCCTCCTTGTGTTCAGCTCCTGACTCACCTGTCTGTGATCCCAGTCACCTCAGGTGTTTCCCACTCTGTTTCATCAGTGTCTGTATGAAGTCTGCATCTTTCCTCTCCTCCTGTGTCCGGGCATTAACCTTCTTAGGTCTCATGTTTCTGTCGTCTGCTCCGCTTGTCTTCGTTCCTCTGAACATAAGTTTTTGCTGGCCCGTCAGCACATTGTTTTGTTATTGGTAAAAATAAGTTATTATTTTTACTCCTGATTCTCTGAGATCTGCCTGCACGTGGGTTCACCTTAGCAGAAATATGTCAAATAGCTTCCACGATCTGTATAACGATAAAGGTTATTGGCTTTCTGTAAATGTACATTTTAATGTGCATATTTTATGTAAAGTTTGTTGGCGGGGCAGAAGACTTTGCTACAGGTAGAACACTTCTTTCTGTACAGGCCGTAAAATAAAGGCCATTAATGCCTGAGCATTGCAAAATACAAAGTATCTTTTTTAAAAACTTGAACCTTGAAAATATTGTCTGTCTCGATCAGCGTTCTGTGAGGACCCAAGGTGCAGATTCAAACATTGGATGACTAAAACTATTCATCCATCCATCCTTCCATCCATCTTTAACCGCCTCTTCCTTTTTGGGTTGTTGGGGTCGCCAGTGCCCACGTCCAGCAATCACTGTTCGAGAGGCGGGGGACACACTGGACAGGTCTCCAGTCCATCCCAGGGACACATAGAGACAAACGAGACAAACAACCATTCACTCTCTCACTCACAACTAGGGATAATTTAGAGTTACCAATCAGCCTAACATGCATGTTTTTGGTCTGTGGGAGGAAACCAGAGTTTTCTGAGACAATCCACGTATGCATGGAGAGAACATGCAAATTCCACCCAGAAAGGTCCCCGGACCGGGATTTGGCAAAGGGTAACCTGCTCACTGAGAGGCAACAGTTCTACTAACTGCACCACCGTGCTGCCCTGACTAAAACTATAAGATTTTAAGAAACAGAAATCAAAATCAGATGAATAATAACTAATAACAACAAGCGATACGTCAATGTCCCCCGACGCTGACGGATTTGAGTAGTGAATGTTTGTAGTTTTGGAGCCAAGTGATTTTCTGAACTGGAATTGAACAGGGAATGAAGTAAACCTTAATGTTTTTATTGCGAGGAGTTAAACTGTGTAGAACAGATGTTTATTGTCCCGTGTTGCAGACCACCCCATCATTTAAGGAAACTATGCTTTCTAGGTATTATATTGCTTAAAAGTACAGTTTCCTCAACTGATTGGGGTGGCTGAAGATTAATTTATCTTATTAATAGGAGGCCTCACCAGGATCCATCACTCTGAGCTGACTTGGACAAGAAAAAAAAAAAAAAACTCCCTCTGTTCTTTTCCACAGTGTAACTCCTACACTCTTGAATATCTTACACTAAAATAATTAAGGTTTACTTGTATTCCCTGTGCAGCACGGTGGCGCAACTGGTAGAGCTGCTGCCTCTCAGCGAGCAGGTCCTTGGTTCAAACCCCGGTCCAGGGGCCTTTCTGGGTGGAGTTTGCATGTTCTCTCCGTGCATGCGTGGGTTTTCTCCGGGTACTCCGGTTTCCTCCCACAGTCCAAAAACATGCATGTTAGGCTGATTGGTAACTCTAAATTGTCCCTAGGTGTGAGTGAGAGAGTGAATGTTTGTTTGTCTCGTTTGTCTCTATGTGGCCCTGTGATGGACTTGCGACCCGTCCAGGGTGTACCCCGCCCCTCGCACAGTGATTGCTGGACATGGGCACCAGCGACCCCCGTGACCCAAAATGGAATAAGCGGGTAAAGAAAATGGATGGATGGATGGATGTATTCCCTGTTCAGTTCCAGTCCAGATAAACCGAAATACCACAATCCTTCACTGTTCATTTCCCTCAGTGACAGGGCACATCAGCTTGTTTTTGATTTCTAAGGCTGCGCAGAGTGCCGCACAAAAACTAGGGCAGTCACAAGGAAATACAAGAGCGAGACCAGAAACATAGGAGGACAATGCAGTTTGGAGGAGTTAAGATTGAAGCTGAGGGATTAGTGAATATGTGCAGGTGAGAGTCATCAACTGATGAACAGATGGGACCGATCATCTGAAGGCTAAGACGACAGACAGGAAAATGGAGGAAAAAAAAGAAAAAACAGGAGAGCTGGGTAAACATCCTGGGTGGTTGGAACCACCGAGGATTACTGCCAGGATTTCACATGATTGTCACCATATCTCTCTCAGCAGAGATGGTGTGTTATTACTGTGAGACATTCAAATGACAGCTGGATTAAACTAAAAGGAACATAACTGAACAAACAAAATAAAGCATGATCTACAAAATAAAACAAAAGCTCATGATCATGATGCTCTCATCTGCTGGGCTCTTACCATTTTATTGGACTTTTTAAATTTAGTTGCATTTAGACAGCTTTTTTATTATTTTTTTTTATTTTTTAGAAAGCAGGTTTCAGTGAAAGCTCAGAGTAAGTTAAGCCTGAGTTTATGAAAACTAATTTCAGAAAGCGATTTGGACTCGACTCACCATGGTAACAGACTCTGAAGCAGACTCTTTCTGTCGCTCTCTGTCCATTAGAAGTTGCTGCAAGTTTTCAGCAGATCGACTCATTTATATCAGCAGTGTTCGTGATGAAAACGTGTGAAGCTTGTTTTGTTCAACTGTGTGGCTCAGCACTCAGAGTTTCCCAGCTCAGGTTACTCAGTTTATGAATGAACTCAGTTTGTTAAACCTCCTTTCTTGAATTTCAGCCCTGCAGAGACCATAACAATACATGTTTTGATTGAGCAAGACATGCAGGTTTGTCTTTTTGAGAGGTGAAAGAACAATCTACAACTCTTTAGCTCTGCACAGACATGTTTCCAAATGTTTCCATACATCCAGTGCATATTTATGTTTTATTTGGGCTGAGATGGAGTTTGGTATGTTGTCATTTTGGTAAATATTACTCTTGTTGGTTTTTGTATTTCCAGAACCAGATGAAGAGTTTTATGGATAAAACCTTTGAAAAGATTCAAAACACAGAAAGAGCTTTAAATATGCTGAAAAGGTTTGAGAGGTGAGTTTCTTTTAATTCTTTTTTTTTTATTCTTTTTTTATACAGAAACTCAAACTCGGGGTCTTTTTTCCCTTTTGAAACAGACTGGGCATTCCCAACCTTGGCATTGATGAAAAGTATCAGAGTACTTTCCAGAATTATGGCCATGACATTGAAATGATTTATTGCATTTATACGAAACAAAAAATGGACCCACCCATTGGCAGGGACATGCCACCGGTGGCAGGTCGGATCATGTGGGTTCGTCATCTGTACAGCCGGATCCAGGGTCCCATGGATCGTTTTCAAGAGGTTTTATTAAATTTATGACTCTCTCGTTCAGCTGGGCTTAAGTTTTGGCTTTGTATATCCACGGGGACATTTTCTTTGAGGTCAATATGCTGTTGTGTTCCTGTGCAGCATCCAAAGGTTCTTTCTACACCTGAAGCTAAGAGGATCATCAAGAACTTTAACAGGGTAGCAAGAGTCCTGCTGGAGTATGAGATACTCTACCATCACCAATGGATGACAAAGGTGCAGTAAATATTGTAGGAAGTAAATTAAAACAGAAAGACACAAGTAAAATGACATATGACATAATATATACAGCATGCATAAATCAGGGTTTATGTCTAACGAATCACAGCTTTCCATCACTAATATCACTCTTTACAACTTACTCTTTCTTTCTTTTTGTGTTGTTGTTGTTTATCCCTGTATGTCATGTGCAGATGGAGGTTGCCAGGGCAGGCTTGCGGGCCTCACTGCTGGTCCGGATCCCAGAGACCGGGCAGCTGGTTGTGAACTTTGACCCAGAGATATTGACCCAGATCCGAGAGGCAGACTGCATGACACAAATGAATCTGGAGATCCCTCCATTTGCTGCTTTATTGCAGCAGAAGAAGACTAAACTCAAGAAAAACTACGATAGGTTAGAGGTGGGTGTTCACAAAATGGTGCTCATTGACAAAAAGACAGGAGAAAGAACTGGAAGTGGCAGAAATGAAGATGCTGAGGTTCTCCATAGGAGTGACAAGGATAAGAATGAGATCATCAGAGGTACAGCACAGGTTGAACAACTGGGAGATAAAGTTAGAGAGGCCAGACTGAGATGGTTTGGACATGTCCAGAGGAGGGACAGTGAGTATACTGGTAGAAGGATGTTAGAAATGCAGCTGCCAGGAAAAAGATGGTAGTTGGAGTGAGGACAGAGGACACAGATAGCAAGTAGCTAACACTGATTAAAACAGAGGACAGTGGGTAAAAGTCCAGTAAAGAACAACTTTATGTATGAATGTGTTTCTTGTGTTTCAGCTCATGCTGAGTGAGAACTCCAGAGTCCGAGCCAAGATTCAGACCGCATTTGAACCGCTGGCTGTGCCGCATGTTGCTAAGGTGAGATGATAAACAATTCAAGCATCACTGACAAGCAGTTTTACTGAACATTATTTAGACTGGAAAAAGAAAGAAGAGGGTAAAGATAATGGATGGCTAGATTATTTAGAGTTTTGTCAAAATGCTTTAGTGTAATTCGTAATAAATCAAATTTTAACGATTTACTTAGATATTTTTTATTTATCCATCCATTATCTGTCCCCTCTTCTTCCTTTTCAAGCCACAGGGGTCACTGGTGCCCATATCCAGCAGTCATTGTGTGAGAGACAGGGGACACAGTGGACAGGTCTCCAGACAGGGACACATAGAGACAAATAACATTCACTCTCTCACTCACACCTAGGGACAATTTAGAGATACCAATCAGCCTAACATGCATGTTTTTGGTCTGTGGGAGGAAACCGGAACACCCGGAGAAAACCCACGCATGCACGGAGAGAACATGCAAACTCCACCCAGAAAGGCCCCTGGACCGGGGTTTGAACCAAGGACCTGCTCGCTGAGAGGCAGCACCTCTACCAGTTGCGCCACCGTGCTGTCTAATATATACACAGACATTTTATTTTAATATCGCACTAATGTACTATTTTTTTGTATTACTGGATAAAAAACAGGGCAGCACGGTGGCGCAACTAGTAGAGCTGCTGCCTCTCAGCGAGCAGGTCCTTGGTTCAAACCCCGGTCCAGGGGCCTTCTGGGTGGAGTTTGCATGTTCTCTCTGTGCATGCGTGGGTTTTCTCCGGGTACTCCGGTTTCCTCCCACAGACCAAAAACATGCATGTTAGGCTGATTGGTAACTCTAAATTGTCCCTAGGTGTGAGTGAGAGAGTGAATGGTTGTTTGTCTCGTTTGTCTCTATGTGGCCCTGTGATGGACTTGCGACCTGTCCAGGGTGTACCCCGCCCCTCGCACAGTGATTGCTGGACATGGGCACCAGCGACCCCCGTGACCCAAAATGGAATAAGCGGGTAAAGATAATGGATGGATGGATGATGGATAAAAAAACATTAACGTGTTGCATCCTTTTTTCGATGCATGTGCAACTTGGTTTCCAGGTGGATGATGCCATACAGCCAGGTCTGATCTACCTCAACTGGACATCTCTGAATGTAGATAAATATCTGAGCAGCATTGAAAAAACATTGGGTAAGCAAAAATGTTAAGTCAAGTCGATGCCTGATATGCTGACACATAAGGCATCCTGCAAGTCAGCGTTGGCAGCTTGGTCTGAAATTTACATGAATCAATTATTGTATCCTCTCAGACATCTTATACACCTTACATTAAGCTCTTCTTATTTCACTGTTATAAATCCCTTGACCCAAAAGGGTTGTCCTTTTTCACCCCCACGTATCTCTTTTTATACTTTTTTAAAATGTTATCACAATTTTTTTAAATGCTTTCATAACCTCACAGTAACTTTACAACACTCAGTTCCTGAGGGGCAAAATTGTTCACATTAGAATAAACTATAAATACAGCTTTTAATCTGTTGTTTATCACTCATAAAAGCATGCATTCCTCTCAGTAAGATTTTTTCTTTTTACCTCTATCCCTATACTATAGATTTTTATATACCCTGGCACACCACTTTTACATTTGAGAGCGTCTGTAAAAATCTCAGCCTAGAAGGAGAACTTTCTCTCAGCCAGACGTCGCTGCAGAGTCTTGCCTCTCATCCCATCTTACAAAACTGTTTTAGTTTGGATGGCAAAAACTCACTTGTAATGTGCGCAAATAAGCATTTAATATGAAAAAGCTGTCCCACATGCATGCAGGCTGCGGAATCGGATGCTCAACGTCTGACAGCTGTTGGTTTATCCCAAAGCAGGACGTCATGAGCGGGTGCACTGTGCTCTTGCAGCTCACTTGTAAATTCCGGTCAGTAAAAACAAAAATATATATGAAAAACTGGCCTTTCTACCATTGGTAAAGTAAAAAAAAAGTATAAAATAGAAAAACCTTCCTGCCTGATCACCAAGAGACAGGAGTAAGTTTGACAGAGAACAAGGCCTCATTTCAGTTTTCAGTCTGCTGGGCTGGAGGGTCTTCACAAAACTCTGCACTGGAACTTTTAACATTTGTCAAAAAAAAAAATCATTTTGGTCATATTAATGGGGTGAATACCTTCTTTTTTCCTTCAACAATTGCCATGAAATAAATATTTAGTCGACTGAAAAAAAGGCAGAAATGTAGAGTTTTATTTTTTTTAACTAAATGACCATAAAAAGTTAAAATAGTGAAAAACATTAAAATTTTATTTATTTATTTATTTATTTATTTATTTTTGTGTGTGTTTATTTCTTATCTGGCTGATATAGCTCTAAATTATTGACTGGTTTATTGTGCGTGTGTGCGTGCGTGTGTGTGTGTGTGTGTGTGTGTGTGTGTGTGTGGTGGTGGTGGGTGGGGGGGTGTATTTTTAAGTAGTTAGGTGACTGATTTTTCCCCAAAGGAACATGAAGGATCATGGTTAAAGGTCAATGAAAGGGTTAATTTCTCAAGAAAAGACGTCCAGTTGCATCGTTTAAAACTCTTCAGATTTTCTCTGTCCAAGTATGCTTTGATTCTCCTGATCCTCTGTGTCTTCAGAGGATTTGGAGCTGCTGATGGACAGGGTGAACGACTTGGTGGAGTTCAGAATAGATGCGGTTCTGCAGGAGATGAGCAGATCCACGCTGTGTGTCCTACCTGAGGAAGAACCCGCCACCTGTGAGGAATTTGTTAAAACCACCAGGGTAAAGAAATACTTATATGTTTCTATAAAAAAAAGGCAAACCATATTGTTGTGCAGTTGTAACTTTGTTGCAGAGAGCTCACCTTCTTATAGAAAAACCCTGCTGTGCTGCCATGTTTGAGCAGGACCAGTGCATCAAACAAGCCCAGACTCTCCACATGAAGAGCACCCTCGTGGAGGAGGCAGCCAATGAACTGATTAACATGCTGATGGAGTTTGACCACAGTCATAAAGAGGAAGAGGGGAAGGTCGAGGAGGAAAGCAACGCTGAGAAAAAAACCATGGACCACCTGAACACTGAAGGTTCTTTCTGGTTTGGGATGTTTGAGATCCTGCACCAAGTTTCTTCAGTTTGATCCAAATTAAAACTTCAAACATTTCTCAACACATTCACATTCCCATCTAACATGTGACTTCCTCAGGGGAAGATGAGCACCTCTCAGACAGCCGCCTCTTCTCCAGAAACACGCTGGGCACTGCTACGAGCACTGGTCCTTCATCTCCTCTGGTGAGGAGGAAGAAGAGGAGGAATCTGGAAGTCATGGAAGAGGAAGCCCAGAAGCTGCTTTCCTACTTCAACCACTGCTACATGGACGCCCTGCTCAGAGTGACACGCAACACATTGGAGATGATACGCAAGAGAATACACACTTCGTCGCTCACGCCTATTTTCAGTGGGTCCAGCCTCATTGTCATCCATTTAAAGTGAACCAAAAAATACACAAACTACTGTAGGTAAAATAGTAAAACTATTATTCTGCATAAGTATTATGGTAGGAAACAAGAAAACTACTTTATCTATAAAAGGTTTCATGTGAGTTGCCATTGTTGAAGCAAAATTTAAAAGATAGATACCAAAACCAACCTTTAACAGTGCATTTCATACAGTACACTTTTCCAGTCAAGGTCACAAATCAAGATCAAATTTAAAACAAGCCCTTTGCTTGACCAGACCGTAACTTCTGATCTGTTCAAGATAATTTAATGAAACTTGAGCACTTGGTTCCACCACGGTGTTGTGTAATCTTTTCATCACCCCACTCTAGTCAAGTCTGTCAAGGTCACAAATCAAGGTATGGGTGTAAAATGTGCTGTAAGAAGTACTCTTGTTGCTGTTTGTTCTGAGCTCTAAACATCTCATCAGTACATTGTGATTGCTCAGTTTCCCTCGTCTCCCTTGATAGGTGAGAGTGATTCCCTCAGCCATGGGAAAGGCAGCGGTCAGCAGACTATCTTCAGGGTCAACGTGACCCTCTCCATACCTAACATTGTCATGGTTCCAGCTCTGGAGGAGGTCCAGCAGGCTCTGAACCAGGCTGTGGAGTGTGTGGTCAGTGTGAGCAAAGGAGTGAGCCAATGGAGCAAAGACAGAATTTCTAAGGTACGTTTGATTGGATAAAAACAACATTTTGTTTTGCTTTTCTGGACTGATGATGTTTTTCTCCGGCAGCAAACCAAACAACAGCTGAGCTCTTTCCTTTATTTGATTTTTGTTTCATAGAAGAAAATTAACGACAGACGAATGGCGGCTTTGAAACGAGACGGTTCTGAGAGTGACTCAGACAATGGAACAACGCACATGAGCATGGCTGGTACACCAAGAGAAAGCTAATTATTTACCAAACATCAACAACTCAGCAATTCATCTTACTTGACATTTGTTCAGATCATTTTCTTTTGAGAGCTGTGTGTATTTTTTGCAACTTTCAATCAGAACTCTCCATTTCACAGCTCAGAAGAGAAAAGCCATATCTGACTGACTAGACCGACACGTGATGATAGAAGTGACACGATGTGCTGGAAAACACTTTCACATTTTGTTCTGATAAAACTGGCCTTTATGTCACATTTACTAAAGGATCTTTCAAACTAAACCTAAATACAGTACATGTATCTTTACCAATTTGTGTATATTTTCTAAAAACATATGGTCTCCCAAAATTTTAGATGGCAGCATATCAGACACCGCATCTGTGATTCAGTCCATCCCATTCCAGGCCAGAAATTACTACAAGAGTGTGTCCGAGAACAAGGAAATTATCAAGTTGGTATCGGTTCTTAGCTCCTCCATCACCTCCACCAAGAAGGTAGCAGACATTTATTCTTGTAGAGCTGTTAGAATAACTCAGAATCCACTTTAAGGACACATCTTTGCTGGGATGTTTGTGCACAGGAAGTAGTTTCTGCTCTCCAGCGTTTCAGTCGCTACCATCACATTTGGAGGAAGGACCGTGAGGAGACCATGCAAAGGTATTTTTAACTGAAAAAATAAATAAATAAATAAAATAAAAAATGCAATCTAAGTCTATCTATCTATCTATCTATCTATCTATCTATCTATCTATCTATCTATCTATCTATCTATCTATCTATCTATCTATCTATCTATCTATCTATCTATCTGTCTGTCTGTCTGTCTGTCTGTCTGTCTGTCTGTCTGTCTGTCTGTCTATCTGTCTATCTGTCTCTCTATCTATCTATCTATCTATCTATCTATCTATCTATCTATCTATCTATCTATCTATCTATCTATCTATCTATCTATCTATCTGTCTATCTATCTATCTATCTATCTATCTATCTATCTATCTATCTATCTATCTATCTATCTATCTATCTATCTATCTATCTATCTATCTATCTATCTATCTATCTATCTGTCTGTCTGTCTGTCTGTCTGTCTGTCTGTCTGTCTGTCTGTCTGTCTATCTGTCTATCTGTCTCTCTATCTATCTATCTATCTATCTATCTATCTATCTATCTATCTATCT